CAGTGGATCGAAAAAAAAGGAAAGTAAAGACTCCCCAAAGTCTTTCCTTGTTCATGGGTCTCTTTTGTCTTAAATCTGTTATGTCTCTATTGTATTTGGACCTTTTGGACTGACCATGACCCACGCTGACTCACGTCAAATTCTTGATTTTCGACGATAAACCTTCCGATCGGAAAGCTGATCCTAATGTTTTGTGGTGATATTAACACATCTGGGCTCTTAAATCACATCTGTAAAAGTGTCAGAGAGGCAATGAGAAGAAAGGAGAGGCTGATATGGGTTATAAGTTGCTGTTGTCATTTGTGTTATCAGCATAAAATAATGCATTTTTCACAACAATTGCATTTAATTTGAATTAAAACTGGTAATAATGCTCATGTCTTTTTAGCACAAAGAGAGATTCACACATTCAACAAATGACGACTTTGCTCATTTGCTTTATTGGTTAAAAAGTTAGCAGCATTAGCTTTTTGCACATCGTTGGGAAATGCTTCTAGTCTTCTACTCTTGCAAGCGGTCGCACACGCATGTCCCTCCTTAACTGGATCATTTGATTCAGCCTGGACGTTGATAAACATCTTGTTGTCCTTGATAGTTGTCTTGCTGGTTTTGACCACCATTTGGCTGCTGATTCCTATGTGGAAAATAGAAAAAAAAAATCAATCAAAATGTATATCATTGTATATTCTTATATTCAAGAATGCTTACGAACAAAGAGTTAAGTAACTGTATTGGTGGGTTTTACATTATCTGGCTCAAACTTCTAAATATCTGAGGCCATCAAAAGGGACTCATGAAGAATTAAAGGTAAAAAAAATGTACATAATGTCTTTGAAATGGCTTTCTTATCAGCAATGATTAGTAGTGAAAAGTGCTTACTGGGCCATTTTTTCCATTCTGCGTTGATTTCGGTACTCTAAAGAAAAATTAGGAAACATTTTTTTTTAAAAAGCATCACTTCAGTTCTGCTCACTGTCAGTCGGCTTAAATCATATTTGAGATCAGTTCATAGCAGGTGGACCACATTTAAAAGTAGCACAAAACAGTTGGAATGGCAGTTTAAAGGACAGAAGAAAAATCTTAATTCACTCGTTGAGGTACTATTGTTGCCTTCTGTCTGCATAGATCTGTATTATTTCTGTTGATGTCAGCACTGCGTATACTTTACGTTGCCATCCGGACTTGGCTCCTCCATATATGGCCTTTATCCCTCTCCAAGCTTTTTTGAAAAAACACTCCCCCGGCTCGGCCATGGCGACCACCAGCGAGAGCACCAGAAACACCACAACGCACCTCATCCTGAAATCAAAACACATTTGAATTACGATCCAACATTGAAAGGCTTTGTCTCAAAATACAACACTTTTATCACATGTTTTAGTCAATTTAAGGATAATTTACCTCTCCACAGGCCGGGTCAGAGTCAAAGCACAAAGTTAGAGATGTCCAGTTGGTGTTAATGCGGCCCTTTAAATACCCGTCTGTGTGAGGGGGTGTTGCTGAAGTCGGTTTCTCAATAGTCTCACCACCGCTTTGTTTTTTTGTCTGACACTAAGCATTTGTTCATTTCATTTCTGTCCACTTTGAAGTGTTTGGGTCCGATGGAGCGTGAAAATCTTTGACGAGTTACACGTTTATGTCCGCTATGTTCAAATCTGGAGGTTGATGGTGAATAATGGTTTATTATCTTACTTTTTTTGCATCATTAAAGTAGGCGTTGTGTATAAATCGAATGGATATTAAGTCTTTTTTCTGCCTGTTCTCCCACAGTTACTTAATTCCCTATTTCAGTGCTAATTTGATACGATGTATCAATTAAATTCTAAATGACAGATATGTGTTTTTTTACTTTCAGTGTTTCAAAAGCCGCAACTTTATCTGATAGAAATGTCAATCCAAACTCGGACCTTGAGAAAACGTTGTGTTTTTTAATGAAGGAAGTGAACTTTTGGTCTTCTTATCAGATGTAAAGTCACTGTGAACGTTTAGAGTTGTTTATCAGCAGTTTGCACATTAATGCTGACGCACGTTTTGGTGCAAACACCTCCGAATAGAGGTAGTGATATGTCAAACAGATGTGCTCCTGAATACGTCCTGCACTTATCATTAAAAGTTGCATTTTGTCCATTAAACAGCCGCTAATCAATGAGTTGCATGGGCTTGCGAAGGCCGCGTTTTTATTTTCTAATTGAATTATAATGGAGTGGATAGTGAGCGATTCTTTTCATTGCTCAATCTATTAAATTTTTTACAGAGCTTTTAATGACTTCTTCTTTTTTTGTGGGGTTGCATTGTAGTCGTTGTGCCCCGTTTGAATTAAGAAGTAATTTCCTGTTCTGTCTTTGCCACAAGCATCGTGCTCTTTTCATCGTTCATCGTGTTTTTTTAAAGTCTTAAACAGAAGTTATACTGAAGTCTGTAGTATTCTGGAAAGATGCTCACCAGAGAAAGAGAACTGACCCCTTATGAACGCGTGAGAATAGAAAGGTGCAACTCTCTTTATGTAAAGAAGAACCTTAATGTTCTAATCTTGAAATAAATGAAATAAATGAAAGCTTTTGTGCATCACAATCACTCAAAAAAAACAGAGTGGATCAACCTGAGAAATGCTTTTTGATGCATTGGTTAAATAACCTGCCTAAAGGTTAAGAGGAAAATGGTTGTATAAATAAACAAATGCAGTCATGGCACTGAGTTAGTTTGGTTTAATGAAAAAGCATGGTAAGAAAACAGGGTTCTTACCCGTTGAGTGCCTTGCCGACTAAATAAAACAAACAAACAAAAAGACAATTAGACTGCATTGTATTTCCATAATGTAGGGTTGATTTAGTCAGGTTCTGTTTAATTACTGGTAATGGCATTCGCTGACAAGAAGTATTAAACATGAACATAAAATGATTCAGTTTAGTTCATTTCTGTTTTCCAAACGTTTTGAGCCACATAAAAATGTACATTTATTTATTCACTTTTTGTCAGAAGCAGAATTACAGACACAGTCTTGTGCCAAATGATCTGAAATACCTACATTGACAATTCAGAAAAATGATGCTGAAAGGATTTGAGGTCAATGTTTAGTAGACTAACTGATTACAATTCTTTTTTAAAAACTACCCCTTTTTTTTTTTTTAAGTGCTCAGCTACAAGGACAGCACTGAAGAGCAATAAAAGACGCAGCAAATAAGCAAACAAAAACTTTAAAAGGCCTTCAGAAAATGAGTGAACCATCGCTCCAGGCCCTTTAAAAAAGACTAAAAGCACATCTGGACCTTGCAAAGCTCCAAATAATGCGCAATTCCATGTTATCTGGCCACTTTAACCCATTTCCACATCTTATTGTAACTCTGGCTTAATATGTTAGTGCAAAGTAATTTTGAATAACTTATTCTGCTGTTTCTGAATCAGTTTCAAAGCCTTTCTGGTGGAAGACTGAATTTATAATCCCTGTATGATATCAAACATAGACTCCTGCTGCTTATTCGAGAAATTTGATCTAAACCGCAAGACAAGTGGTGGGTGAACACCCACTGACACTTCCTCTAGTTGAAGTTTACCCACTGAGTAAGCATGACTTTAGTTAAATCCATTTATCAGTCATGAAGCTAATCAACATGATTAACAGATCAGATGTAACGCAACATTTAGTGATTTTTCTATTCTCAGGTCCCTGCACAAAGTTACAAATGAACCAAAGGGAATTACAAAAAAACATTAAAACAGTATATAAAAGATAGAAGCAAGTAAAAAAGGAATGAAAATAACCCTAAATGGCAAACTTTTGTTCTAAAAAAAACAAAACAAGTCTGTGTCAGTCCTTCCTCTGTAAGCCAAAGCCTACAAACCTATTTATAGTCCATTGTATTTAAATCAAACACAGTTAGACTTAATTAAAGGCATTCCATAGTTTAGTAGTTTAGCAGCTGGACATCACTGACCACAGCCACCACCATCAGGGGTGCAGAGAGGCCTTCCCTCGTTGAAATGTCCAGGATTTAACAATCTATTGTTAACCAGCTCTGTAATCCTCCTCCTGGACTGTTTTTATCTAGCTACAGCCTGTCTGCACATATCTTAAAGCCGAGTGGAGAGGTGTTAGAGTGGTTCCTTCAGTGAAAGAATATAAAATTACCCCCGGATCCGGGCCACTTTATTCCATCTGCCGGTGGTCTTACAGTTCCATAAGGCGCACGTAGAGACGTGGTTTACCCCTCTTTCGTTTTCTCTGTTTTGTTCCTGCTCCACCCCTTTAACTCACCTTGAATTAACAGGTTTTTTTGTGTTAGTTTCATGAAACTCACAACCAAGTTAGCTGCTCCACTGGTTGACTTCCACATTTCCATAGTTACATATCATATCATATAATATAATATCATATCATATCATATCATATCATATCATATCATATCATATCATATCATAATAAGTGTTCCTTGTTCCCATGGCAACATAGCATAACAGAAAAAGCCGGAGATTTCCACCTCACTTTCCTCTCTGCTCCACATTTCTTTGTCAATTTGTGTTGAGATTTAGCAGATGAGTAAAAGTTCTTTAGTTTTTCAAGTCAAACAGAAGGAGGAAAGAATGGTTTCTAGTTATTCCTGCCTACTCTATTAACTGAATATTCACACCATTTTTGCTATGCCACAATTCTTTTGAACGATGTCACACGTGAATTGAAATACAAAACATTAACTTTGACAGACACCAGCGTTTCTAAGTAGAATTAAACACTTTTTCTGAACTTACTAAATACTTCTACTGATTTAAATCATGTAATGCATTTCAAAACTCTTCAGTCTTTTCAAAGGAAAGTTACAGGACTTAAACCAAACTATTAATGCAGCTTGTTATGTGTTGCCCTTTCTACATAGTATATCTTTGTATAGTCTAACGGTTTTGCAGCTATATCTATGCATTATTTCATTGGACCTTCAGTTTGTGTTACAAATATGAGCCACAGTAAATTTTAAAGCATAAAAGCATCCTTAAATTTGGATATAATTCCCTGTATTCAATAGAAAAAAACTGTTATTTTTTAAATACCACAAGAGAAGGAGATGTGTAAGCTGATTTATTAGTCTTTTTTATTCAGTGAGTCACAGCAAAACATGCTAAAATCCAGTCAAAGTGATGTTGGTTAGAGAAGTATTTAAATGAACGTTTATCCAGCTGCAGCTCCTGCTGGTCTACAAACTCCTCTCCCTCTTCTTCTCTTCTTCTTCGGCCTACCAGCCTTTTGAAAGTAAATCAGATTCAGCACGGCGCTGGCAGATGAAGAGGAGCTGTTGGTAATGGTTTAAAGCACAGCTAAAACTGGAGTTTAGTTCTTACTTAAGGATAGCTTTGATCCCCCAAAAGGCTCCGTGTATAAGCCCTGCTACAAAGTTATCAGGTTCAGCCATCAGGACAACCATGGACAGCACAAGAAAAGTAAAAGTTCAGGTTCTTAAATGGCCACATGCCATTTTAAAAAAATTCAGTTCCTTTACTGATCAATTCCAGGCTAAATGGGTCAGTTTATTATGTAAGAATCGGATATTTTCCCTGTTTTTCACTTGAAAAAGTGAATATAAAAATTGGATACTTACATTTTGCTGTGTTTGAAGGCTCAGTAAATATCGTTGTAGGTCTTTTATGTGCAGGACAGAGCAGATTTCATTGTTGTGAAACAGTTTTGTGAAGATGAGTAATGACTGGGCCTAAAGGCATGCAGATTTGAGGACCGTCAACTTCCCTGTGCTCAAAAGTTCTGTTTATTTTAAAGTGACGAAAAGGACATTTCACTTTTTAGTTAATTCTCGCTTTAAATCAAATTATTTGCAAATTATTCTTCTATTATCGAAGCCTATTAAATTCCACATCATATGAGAACACTGCATTTGTGCCTTTCTGTAACATGATACTTTTTGTTTTCCAACATTGACCTTTGACCTATCAGACACTAACATTTGAGTCCTTAGATAAAAAAGGTTTTATACATTTTCTACGTATCAATCATGTCTTTATTGTGTGATGAAAAAAAATTAATACTATCTCTAATATGCATTTTAAATGCAAAGATAAAACCACTGTCCATATATGGGGAAAATCTATATCTGTACCAGGACACAGTCTAGTTCTAGTGCTTATAGTACAATGGGCCAAATACTTAAGTTTTTTTAAATCTATCCAGTGAAAAATACCTGTATTATCATTTTGGTACGCAGCCACCAGGACTAACCTGTCTGTGAGACAGGAGAATTATCAAAATGGTCTAAAGATCGAGCCCATTTGAGGTATTCACCCTCACAAAGGCCCAATCATTTTAATGTGTTAGCAGTTTCAATAAATACCAAAGTTCATTCATTATGGGCCCCTTATAAACAGAATGGAACAATCCAGTTCCAGTTTGGGGAGTTCATCGTTTATCTTTATCATTTATGTTATCATGTCCTCATCGGCCTCACTTTTAATTGGACACAAAGCAAATTCTGGAAACACGTTACAGCCCACATCTCAGTCCGCTTCAATCCATTTATTAGCATTTCAACATTTGACACCCCCGGTGAGGTTATAGCAGGAGACAGACAGAAGCAGCTGTTTGACATCATTTTTAAAATTTATTCATTTTACCAGATGATTAGATAAAAGCAGAAAAAACGGCTTTGATGTGAGCTACAGCTAATTTATCGAGCCGCTAGCAATTTGTCAAAATGAATGACCGGGAGCTTGGTGTTTTCATCCCGGGACGGGCCATCTTCCGTCTAGTGGACACGATGGTTTGCGTGGACGTTTTGAAAGGAGCGCTTGTCCAGCTGTTCCAGCTGCTGCTGCTCCTGGGCAACCTGCTCATCAGCCAGCTGCTGTTTCCCATGGATGAGCCTGGAAAAAAGAAAAGAACACAATACTTAATCTATCCTCCTGAGACCCAAAGAAAAAAAAAGAGTGTCTTCAAATTTATTTTTTGTTGTGATTTTCCATGTATTTCGACCTAAAAAAGAACATTACAATTTAAATAAATAAAAATATATATTTTTAATTTTAATTTCATAGCATGTCCACTGTGGAGGACAACAGGACGATTTGCATGGGGAAATAGAACGGGCTTTAGATAATTAAATAATAAAAAAGAAGATGTCTTGAAAGGGATATTTACCTAAGAACTCTTGGGAAAAAAGTAAAGTTCCCAGCATGCAAACCTATCACATGGCACATCACTGGAAAGCCCAGGATGTCCTCTACAGAACACTATAGGGCTTGATAGGGTAACTCCAGATACTTAGGGGGGGTACAGGTGGACAAAATGTCCACTATAATGGACATAAATGAATGGGCCAGGTCTCAGGAGGCTATAATTGTGTTTAGGCAGGTTCATACACAGCCAAAGTCAAAGACAAGTCAAGTTATTAATCGAACAATGTGCTCCACCAATCAGTAAAATTATTATCTGTTATTTAGTTAAAACATGTTGTGAATGAATCCATGGAATCTGCTTTAGTGAGTTAGTGTGCTGACAGAAGATTATCTGAGCTTTTACTTATGGATGCCCTTAATAGCGTGGGTAATCAATCCGAAAAAGCCCTCTCCAGGTTCGGCCATCATGACCACCATGGACAGCACAAGTAACGCCAGAGTGCACTTCATCCTGCAAACAGAACACCAGAAATGATGGATTTCATTATAACTTTAAGGCTGCTAACGTAACATTGTAGTTCACAGAAATAAAACACGATTTAGAATATGTTCCGGTCTGGTTTATTCCTGTATTTTCCCTTTGATATAACTTATTTTGGTTGAGTTAAAATGCCTTTCGTTATTCTTAGGATTGGTTCCAATTTTAACAGGCTGATAAATTGAAGTGTTTTTGTTCTATTAAATTATAAACATGACACTCGTTTGATACCCAACGCTCCTGAGATCATGTATAAACTTGCCTTATTACAAATGAATTCACAGGTAAAAAGATTAAAAGAGAGTTTTACCTTTCGTCTTTTTCAGAGCTTCGGTGGAAAACGTTTCTCTTTCAGTGGTACGAGTGAAGATCTGTCCTCTGTTGGGCTGCCAACTCTTTTATTTCCTCCAGATTCACGCTGCCCACTGGACCGCACCCCGAAATTGTCATGTGATTCGCTTTAAAAAAAACAAACAAGTTGGCATGATTTCCTTAATATAAAACTAACAGCTCTTTCTCTTTTAAATAGCAAAGAAAAAGCCATTCACATGTATGTTAGAAGTGGTGATTAACCTCCAAACGGTCTAATTACTCTAATTACCCCGTCTGCCTCCATTAGATGCTCGAATACCACTTTTATAAACTGGATTTTCTCTCAGTTTTAGTTGGAGATGGAACTGAATATCTATTTAATTGATTTATTTACAACGAGAATGAACTTTTTTTTGCTTCTATGCACACAAAAGTGCCTCTATCATTTAGACAAATTAAGAACGTGCTGATTCTGCATCTGGTGGGAAGCTAAATTGAAACATCCGCTGCTTTTTCTTTTACCTTTTTAGGCTTGTTTTGGCCACCATGTGTGGCCTACACGTTGTGTTTGCGTAGTCATGCTGCCTGTGTTTGGTATGAAGAACAGCTTTATCACAGACTCATGATTTCACAATCTTCTGTTCCCCCTTCTTGCCTTTTCGCATAACCAACGGTGAGAGAGTCTCAATCAGCATCTATCGGCCATTTATAATTGTGATTAAAGCTTTTGAAATGAGACATTGACATAGGCTGGGCTATGATTATCGCCTGGGATAGCATTGTGTAATGTTTTTAAAGTAGAAGGATGTCTCAAATTTGGAATAAAGGATATGTAATATATGTATTTTCTACACACAGTTCAGATCAATTTCACATAAACAAACATTCAAAATTGGTCAGAAATGTTACATCTCTGATCCCACCCTTGTCATTGTGTTGATGATTCATTCTTAAATGTTTGTCAAAAAAAGGACTATTTGAAGCCCAATCTGTTGTCCCAAATGGACAATGGCGGAAGTTTCCACAGTCTGAGAGCAAAAATGCTGACAGTTGTCTGGTCAACAGGTCATTACCGGCTATTGGGGACGCTTAAACTCAATTCTTCTTCATTTCCTGTCAGAAAGAAGTTTTGCTTATTTCCATCCGTTCATTGCGTGTCTCTGTGTCACAGACATTGATGCAGTGGCTGCTCTTTCTCCATTAGTCAGTCTTTGTGTTACACCCCCCTCAATATACAGTGACTTAAAATTAATTTGCTTTTTTTTGCAGCAATGACACATTTGAAACGCAAGGAAAAAGTCTACTTATAAAGGATTCGCAAGTTGTCGTAATTAGAAAATAGAAAAGACAGAAAAGATGCAAATACACATTATTAGCAGCTTTTCTGTCGTTTTTAAATGGTGCCTCTGACATCCTTCATGAAGTGTCAGGTTTTTTGTTGTTTTAATGTGCTTTACAGGAAGATGGGCAGGCATCAACAGGGCACTACTCAGCAAATTCTTTGAAAAAAAAGGGCTGAACAAGGATGAACCGATATTAAAAATAGTATTTTATGTCTGTGAAACTGTTACATATTCATGGACACAGCTGTCTTTGTCTTTTTAACAGGAAGCCAATAATGAAGCCGATTAAAAAATAACTTTTTATTTTGGTTGTTCGTAGGCCAGGGATGCTGAAAAAAACACAGAAGAAGAAAGACATAAAAACCCTCCAAGAGTTCATAAAAAAATGCAGAACATAATATTGTTCAAGACCTCTAAATGATTAGAAGAAAGTTTCTTTTTTTCTGAAGAAGTCATTATAAAACGGGGGTTAAATAATTGATGTTTTACCAAATTTTGAGCCCTTTCAGAATGATCTTACCCTCTAAATCCGCGTTTTCTGAGGCAAAATGGTGTTTTTAAAAAGTTTTTCTTTATTGCATTTTCTACTAATTGGGTGATGACAATGCAAAGTTCTTCCTTTATCGGTGTGAACAGCTTGATGACTTTTTATCACTTCTCTAAGCTCTATTTCCTCTTCTTCTCTCTCCTTTTAGAGGAACCTGGTGTTAGAAGGTGCAAAAATAGTCAGCGGAAAATGTTGCGATGTTCTTTTTGTCATTGCCATTTAAACCTTTTCTTTGTCCTGCTCAGTAGATAACTTATTCATCACCAAAGACTAATGGCGGCGAGGATGTTGCAGTGTGGCCTGCTTTTCCAAAACCTCTTTTAGTCTAAGTAGACCTGTACGGTCTTAGTTAGATCATAAGATCCCTCCTAAGAAGATGCTCCTTTTTCACTTCTGGATTAAATATTTACAGCCTCTTAAATAAAATGTCTGGAAAACAGCTAGTGTGTGGGTGTTCAGAACACTAATAATGAATATTTTGATTAATTCATGTACAGTACCTGGTTTTGGCTTGTTTTCTTTCACAATACGATTTTTCTTCTTGATTGTGCAACTCCACCTTTGTATGATTCATCTAAAGTCACGGAGAAAAGCAGATCCTTAATGAACCAAAGACGGGGGAGCTGTTTATGTAAAATGAAACCTTTCTCCTGACGACATTTGCTGAATCCGGGCAATAAATGGCCCCCTCACTGAATACAGCGTATTGATTTTGCTTAATGGAGACATTTCAAGTAAAACCTCTTAATGTGAACCACAGAAGGATCAAATCCTGGGTTGGAATAAATGCATCCCCAGAGGCAGCGCCGCTGCACAGCCTCCACACCCTGGACCACTTCTGGGTTTCTAGAAAAGTGGTCGTTCTTTGGGCTGACACTGGAGAGCTGTCGGGGTAAAACATTCCGGATGCAAAACAGACGATGGAGCCACACGTTTTTTCTTGTTTGCATCCATTTCAAGCAGCCTAAGTCACAGATTTGTGAGCTAGATGTAAAATTAAGCCTCAGAAGCACATTAAAAACGTTCATATTATCCCTCTCTACTTGTTTTATATCTCTGTCCTTTAATTCATCTCTACTCATTTTCATCAAATCAGCAGTTTTCTAATAGTTCTGGATGTATTCTGCTATGTTGGAGTTAATGGGTCTTCCTATACTTCATTATAGCTATAAATGTTGTCTAAAAAATCACTTTTATTGGATATGAGGAATTATAATCAGGAATTTTTCCATAATCATTAAAGACTAAAATATGATAATGATGTGAGAATGAGGTCATTGTTGTTAGACAAAAAGATGTTTATATTTCTAAGACCGCACCTCGCGCTGGTTATTAATAGTGATTTTTTTTTTTTTTTTTCACTTTCCGCTTGCAAAAACTCTGACAAAAGCAACACCTCTTCGGGACCAACACCTGGAGCTGTAGCTGACTCCTTCACAGCTCTCATTGTTTCCAGCCCGCACCCCCATCCGCCGAGCTGTTAACAAACCATGCAAAACAACAAAAAAAGGACGATTAAAAGGTGAATAAAACACAATCAAACCACATGGATTCAACAGTGTCCCATAAAACGGTCGGTGCATGAAGAGAAAAGGCCTCTTATGTTTCCTTTGCCAACGACTTGCTTTAAATTGTACGAGAAAACTAAAGATGTCAAATAAATGAAGTGGATTAAGAACCACAATACCTTTCTTAATTTAGAGAATCTGTGGAGAGGAAGTCTCTGTTAGTAAAATCGCATCCTTATCATATATTTTTGATGAAAACCTACTATCTCACTGTAAAATAATTGAATATTCTGCTCACACTTCTTTGGTTTTCTGCATTTGATAAGAGATGAAGTCATCACTTCATCTCCCGCCTGCTCTCCGCTTGGTTTTTTGGTGTTTTTTTGCCCCTCACCGGCTATTGAACGACGACCCCCGGAGACCCGGCTTTAGCCTAAGCCGTACTTGAAAGCAATCCTTCCTCTAATTCAACCCATCTTTAAATCCTTGCTAGAGACAGAGTGGTGCATAACACACACACACACACACACACACACCTGGATTAAAGCAGCTGGACGTGAGCGACTGTTCCATGAATGGTGCGAGCATCAGGGAGATCAGGTTGTAACATTTAGAGAAGGGATTTTGCTGCTTACCGTGGAATTGATGTGAGGATTCAAATTGTGGTTTTGTTTCAAGACACCCTGAAAAACAGTGGGCTCAAATACAAGATGGCTTGCTGGAAATAACTCGTGCGTAATGCTTCCAGGAAATAGCCGTATGCCAAAACCCTCAATGCTTAAAGACAAAATGCAGTCAAATGTGACCTGGATAAGGAGAGGAGTAGGTCCATGACAACATGGCGGACGCTGCCAAACAGAGGCTACAGCTTCTCGATTTAGATAGATCTGTCCAGCACCCCTGTTACATCCCTTTGTCTTTGTAAAGTGAAAAAAAACAAGGTTTATTGGTCTTCCAAAAGACGAAGACGACTCGACAACTGTGGAGGAGAAAGAGGCCGTTAGCTTGTGCCAAATCAAAGAAATCAGCAAAACAAAACAGGGCCTAGCTAACAGTACCTTTGAAAGAAAGCAAAAGAAAACAAAAACCCTGCCACTTTAAGCTAATAAAGATTCATAATAATACTAGGGTGGCACCAACCTAATTAGCAAAGGTATCTAACATAAACACAACTATCTTTGTGATAGTTGTGTTTCTGTGTTAACCGAACTTAGCTAACCCCGAGTTAGCTAGCCCACAACCTCCCACCACAAACCTTCAAACCAGCTAGCACAATGATAACCTTGACTCCCAATAATGCAGGTTCTGCCAGCAAATTTGAGAACAGAGTCCCTGACTAACGCGTTCAAATGGAAGCTCACAGGTGTGTGTTCATGACCGAGGTGACCTGAAGTGATTTCCATGGTAATGGCTGATGTTTGAAACCCCGGCTAATCAGCACAACGCCGCCGCGCGTCACACTAACGTTTCCAAGAAGACAGAATATTAGGGCATTGGCAGAAACGATAGAACTGGGTAAAAAATAGAAACAAAGCGGCTTCTTTTCAAATAGACTGCTATCTGCGAGCGGCGTGATACCACATTCTCAGAAATGAAAAAAAAACAATCCTGCGCATTCTTCAGTAGCGCCAATGTCTTCAGTTTTTGCACGTCTGCAGACTTAAGTGAGAAAGCCTTCCCACTCTTTATCTGAAAGTTTTCAGACGTTTTCTTCTATTCTTTCAACCTGGGTCAAAGTGA